ACTCACCATTGACGTGTTTTGGGCACGCCGGCACGATTTGTTTACTTTTTGAAGTTTGGTAAAAAATGGGAAAAATTCGCTATTTTGGAAGCTAAAATTTCAAGGCCCCTTTTAAATGTAAAAGCTTAAAATCATCTAAATTTCAGTATTTTTTCTTCCATTCTAAAAATGAGAAAAAGAAAACTAGAATACAACAAAAATACCAAAACGAAAATCCCCGCAAATTTCCTGTTTTAAAATTAAAAAAAAAGGGAAAAAATTTTTTTTTTTTTCCAATTATCCTGTGTGCGCGGTTTTTTTTTTAAGATTTGTGCCACTACCACAAAACCCCCTTCTTTCATATAAAGGGCCCTTTACCAGCTTTCATCCCACAGTTTTTGGAGACCAAAATTTTAATAGTACTAGTAGGGTAAAAAAACCCCTACGCGTAAACGTACTATACAAACAAAAAACCCCCCAAAGGGTTAAAGTGCGGGCTTTGTATTTCCCCCTTTTTTTTTTTTTTTCCAGACTCAAGTCCAAACAAAATTGAAAAAAACCCCCGGTTTCCCTGAATCCCTTTTCACAAAATATTCCCCGCCAAAACCCCAAAACAGATCATCAGGTCTCAATACCCCTTTGGGTCCCCCCATTCCCTCCTACCCTAACACTCTCAGCTGCTTGCGGGAAAATCCAACCCCCTTCGCCCACAAAACCTCCTTTCCCCCCCTTTTTTCCAACCCTTTGGGAGACGACCCCTACCCCCCTTCCTTCCCCTATAGATTTATATCTTTCCAGTCATCAATTTGATCCATTCTCTCAAAAATGACCAAACCACCTCAACAACCCCTCTTCGCCCTCGACAAATGCTTTTTTAAAATTCCAAAACCCTTTTCCCCTAATTTCCACACTCCAAATTTTTTCTGCATAATATTTACCCACCATTGCCCTTAGACAGGACATTCCACTGCCTCCAACCGCCCTCGCTCTGCTTTTCCCACCCAAGTTTTCACCCCATAAAGATGTTGGTACTCTAACTTTTCATACTTTCCCTTCTTTGCCTCCATAGATAACTTTTTTGACCCCACATATCCCTCAATGCACACTCCCCTTTTTTTTTCCTCATCAATTCTATATTAACCCCCTTCATAAATCCATCCGCCAACGTCAACTCCCAATTCGAAAACATTCCCATTCTTCCATACTCCCCCTCCCCAATTGATAACATTTTTCTTTTCTAAATCTTTTGATCCCTCATCACCTACTTTTTTCATTTTCACTTTCAACTTTCACCTTTACCACTTTCCCAAAACTCATCCACAACCTTCAATTTTTCTTAGAATCTCCCATAACCAGTATCACAGCAAAAAGTAACTGTGCAATTCCCATTTTTAATTTGATTCCCATAATTTAACACCACCCCTCTCCCAAACACCCCAGCATTTACTTCTTTTTCAACCCCATCTTAAATTTAAATTAACAACCATGGGCATTACCAACCCTTTTAAACCACTTTTCCCCCAAAGTATTTTCCCCCCTTCCACACTCTAACCTGAGCCTCACTATCCCCCCAAAAAAACTCTTAAAAACATTTAGAACTTAAACCAATTTCCCAATACTTGCAACATCTGCCCCCCTTGCTCCTCTATCCACTCTTATCATATGCCTTTTCTAAATCCATAAATGCAATAAAAACTTCCCTACCTTTATCTAAATACTGTTCACTTATATGCTTCAATGTAAACACTTGATCTACACATCCCCTACCCACTCTGAAGCCTCCCTGCTCATCCGCAATCCTACATTCTGTCTTACCTCTAATTCTTTCAATTATAACCCTACTGTATACTTTTCCTGGTATACTCAGTAAACTTATTCTTCTATAATTTTTACAATCTCATTTGTCCCCTTTCCCTTTATATAAAGGGACTATACATGCTCTCCACCAATCCCTAGGTACCTTCCCCTCTTTCATACATTTATTAAACAAAAGTACCAACCACTCCAACACTATATCCCCTGTGCTTTTAACATTTCTGTCATGATCCCATCAGTTCCAGCTGCTTTACCCCCTTTCATTCTACGTAATGCCTCACGTACCTCCACCACACTCCTAAAAGATGGTATACCTCCCTGGCCAGTGCATGAAATTACCGCCTCCCTTTCTTCCTCAACATTTAAAAGTTCCTCAAAATATTCTCGCCATCTACCTAATACCTCCCTTTCCCCATCTACTAATTCCCCTACTCTGTTTTTAACTGACAAATCCATACTTTCCCTAGGCTTTCTTAACTTGTTTAACTCACTCCAAAATTTTTTCTTTTCATTAAAATTTCTTGACAGTTGCCACTCCCCACTCTATCATCTGCTCTCCTTTTGCACTCTCTCACCACTCTCTTTCACCTTTCTTTTACTCTCCATATACTCTGCTCTTCTTATAACACTTCTGCTTGTAAAAAACCTCTCATAAGCACTTTTCTCTTTATCACACCCTTTACTTCAGCTTCACAGTCACTCCTCTTTCCTCCTCCCCACCCTCTATAACACAAACTTCTGCCCCACATTCTAATACTGCATTTTTAAACTTTCCAACCCTCTAACCCCCCCCACACTCTCTTTGCACTAGCCGACCTTTCTGCCAATAGTCCTATATCTCCCCAACTTCCTCCTCCCTTAGTTTATACACTTCCCTCCCTCTACTTGTTGTTGCCACCTTCCTTTTACTGTAACTAAAGGCCAGGTGTGGTATATAGTAGCCCTCCTGCACACCCACCCTTTTACATAATACAGTGGACCCCCGCTTAACGATCACCTCCACATGCGCAATTATGTAAGATAGCATTTATGTAAGTGCGTTTTACGTAATTTGGGGTCCTGAATGGACTAACTACTCACAATTCCTTTGGAAAAAATTCGGTCAGTACTGCACCTGAACATACTACTGGAAATGAAAAAAGTTCGTTATAACCTCCGGTCCCCCCCCATAATATACTACAACACTTGAAGTGCCCTAGAATGATAAAATGATATACAGTACACTGATTACTTACCTTAAAATATTTGTAAGAGGTGAAAAGTATTTATTTGTAGAAAGTCATGTGGGAGGTGTGGTAGCCCGCCTGGCCACCCCACCTACTATGACATTTAAAGTGCCCTAGAGTGATTAAAATGCATATACAGCACACTCATTACTTTCCTTAAAATATTTGTAGTCTTAATGTAGGGTGAGAGGTGAGTAAGCTACATAAAAATGAATGAACGAGTAAGAGGACAGAGCCGCAGAGTATTTATGTAAACAAACACGGTCTAGTTGTGGTTGATACACGTTCATACAAACACCTTACATTGTGTACAAGTTGTCTCCACAGTGGCACAGTTGAATAAATAAAGACAACACTTCCACTCTCATGTGAAATCAGTTTTAGAAGGAATGATGCTCTGACAAATTATTATTATTACAAATTATTACAAATTATTATTACAAATTACAGTGGACCCCCGGTTAACGATATTTTTTCACTCCAGAAGTATGTTCAGGTGCCAGTACTGACCGAATTTGTTCCCATAAGAAATATTGTGAAGTAGATTAGTCCATTTCAGACCCCCAAACATACACGTACAAACACACTTACATAATTGGTCGCATTCGTAGGTAATCGTTATGCGGGGGTCCACTGTATTATTATTACAAATTGTTGTTATTCCAGTGGTACCTCAAGTTTTGAACAGCTCCCAACTCAAACAATTATGTAAGTGTATTTTTGGGGGGCTGACACAGACATTACATTATTCCTTATGGTAACAAATTCGTTTGGTAACAGTACTCGAACAGCCTTTTGGAACGAATTAAGTTTGTAACTCGAGGTACCACTGTATTATTCTTATAATAAAAAAGAAGCGCTAAAACCACAAGGGTCATGAATAGTTATAGAGCAAAGGCATACGAAAGGAATATTTTTCTACAGTTTAGTAACTGGTGTTTGACTAGAGAAAACATAATTCTTCCGACACTCCTACTAACAGCTTGGTAAACAAATCTCATATTTGTCAATTTTTATACTGTGGGTCTATGTATCATGTGTATATGTTACCTAGCATGTTTATTATATAATTTTGAAAAAAAATCATAGATGGATTAATGGAAATGTCTATATTAACTTAATATACGACAATTAATGCGCCCAGATTATATGGCGTCAAGGGTAAAGAGACTCTTTGGTGATTTTAATGTGTACCTGCATGCCAGCACAGTGTGCAAGTATATTTAGGTACAGGTACACATAAATATAATTATCAGAGTACATATAAAATATGCAATAACTTAAAACACTTGAAACTTTGGAAAGTTTCCAGACATATAGAGAGATGTGCTCACGGACAATGTAAACAAACCAGGTGGGGGTGCGCCATATTAGAAAGACTGCTCGCTGTATAGCAAGTTTTGGTCATAATTTGAAATCTCCGTATTAGCGGAATGCCGTAAAGTGGGGCCCTACTGTATTTGTAACTAAATACTGTAGCATAAACATTATAATACTATGCATGTGAAATTCCTCCATACACCTACCATCCGACTTACGACCTGCTCGACTTACGACCCTGTACGACCGTGTTTTTTTTTTGCCAAATTTCTGGGAAATAAACAACTATTTGTGTTGTACACAGTGTTTATCCTAAACCTTACAGTATAAAATACAGTACTAACAGCATAAAAAGTAAAGTAAAACATGAAATACCATAAATAAATAAAGTCATTACAAAAATTTGATGTTGATATTCAGTAGTAAAGTTCACTTACGTCCATTTCGACTTACGACCGGTTTCTCGGAACCGAGCTCGGTCGTAAGTCGGATGGTAGGTGTACTTTCAAAACTGAAATCCTTGATGCCAGTGAAGGACTTTTGATCCAGGGAATTGAAGCTACCCTTCACTTCCTTTGATCAAATCTGCCTTCCATTTCCCAGGTGCTGTATGACCCCTTTCGGTTTAGCACTTCCCCATAAACTTACACTCAAACTTACCTTGTGATTGTCTTCTCTCTTCTTTTGCTCTGTAGTCCAAAAAATATCTATATATTCGGTCTCCATAACCTTTGGAAAATTGTTTAAAACCATTTTCATCTAACTGCAAAAGATTTAGCCCTGTTGAGCCACTTAATTCAGCAAAATTAATATCAAGGTTTTCACACTTGAGATCATCCCAAGCAGTGAACATGAAGTCAACAACATCTTGATACGTCCACTTGCAGATTTGTTTATTATGGTACTCCTCATCCTCTGAAAAAAAAAAAAAAATAATTATCCACCTACAGCATATATAATTTGTAAATTAGAAAAGAAAACTCTGATGAGAAAAATTGATTAATGACACATGTCTGAGTAACTTGCACCAGTTCCTCCCAGGAACTGAACTACAATGTTTTATTTCTTGTACACTATAAGTGTTAAACAAGACTGTAGAATTTTGACAGTTTTATCAGATTTTTTTTTTTTTAATAACAATTACAATGTGTGTGGGTTAGATTCTGTATGTGTATGCCATCCTTTAGCCTCAGAATTTAGAGATATCAAGGCATCTTAGAGATGGCAATACATAATAATTGCTAAGACATAATAACTAATATTAGTTGTAACATTGTTATAAAAAATCAGATTATCTTAAGAGTGTAAATAATACATTTATTCAATCCTTAAACATTTTATTAGGAAACCTTTTGCTTTTAGAAGCAAAACATTTCCTAATAAAATGTTCTGGTGATGAGCAAGTGTTTTATTTACATTGTTGGTATGTACTCTACATACAGTATACTAGATTCCTATCTCTCATCCTTAGAGCAATGACTGATAATATACATATGTATAGTGGTCAAAGAAGGCTGACTATTTAGGATGTCACTACCAGCATTGTCATGTACATTATACTATCACTGAACTGTTGCAAATTTCTAAGTATTTTAATAATAATAAAAAAGTAATATTAGTTTACTACCAGGGTTGCGTTGCTGCCATTCCAAATTCTTGAGAGAAGCACTTGGAGTAGAAACTGAGGAATTGGACATATCCTGTAATAAAAAAATGGTTAATTAGAACAATGTGAATTATCATACAAAGAAAAATTAGCCAGATGGAACAATAGTTTTCAGTTTGTGAATTATCCCACAAAGAAAAATTAGCCAGTCGGAGCAATGATTATCAGTTTGTGATTTATCCTACAAACAAAAATTAGCAAGCTGAAATAGTAGCTATCAGCTTGTGAATTATCATAGCTATCAGCTTGTGAATTTTTTATACTGTTAGCCATGCACATATAAATATTGATCAGTTCACACAAGTCATACTAAGAACATAAGAAAGGAGGAACACTGCAGCAGGCCTGTTGGCCCATACTAGGCAGGTCCTTTACAATCCATCCCACTAACAAAACATTTGCCCAACCCAATTTTCAATGCCACCCAAGAAATAAGCTTTGATAACTCTATCCACTCTCATATGCAAGTCCCACTCAAATCCAACCCCTCTCACTCATGTATTCATCCAACCTAAATTTGAAACTACCCAAGGTTTTAGCTTCAATAACCCAACTAGGTAGACTGTTCCACTCCTCAACTATCCTATTTCCAAACTAGTACTTTCCTATATCCTTTTAAATGTAAACCTGTCTAATTTGAATCCATTACTGCGGGTTCTCTCTTGGAGAGATATCCTCAAGACCTTATTTATATCCCCTTTATTAATACCCATCTTCCACTTATACACTTCGATCATGTCTCCCCTCATTCTTAGTCTAACAAGTGAATGTAATTTAAGGGTCTTCAATCTTTCTTCACAAGGTAGATTTCTAATGCTATGTATTAATTTAGTCATTCTACGCTGAATGTTTTCTAACGAATTTATGTCCATTCTGTAATATGGAGACCAGAACACTGTATTCATGGGGATAGCACTTGGAAAATAGGAAGAAACTGGATTCGATCCAAGGAATGGGAGGTTCCCAGTTCCTTGGATCAGAAGCCCTTCACTATTTCTAAACCCAGTGATGAGCAGGGGTGCGGTGGGGACAATAAGGGAACACTGTATCAACATCCGAGGTCCCAGACTTTTCAACATCTTACCAGAGGATATCAGAAACACTGCTGGAACAAGTGTGGAAGCTTTCAAGAGGAAACTCGACAAGTATGTTCACCAGGTGCCAGATCAACCAGGCTGTGATGGATATGTGGGACAGCAGGCCTCCAGCAGCAACAGCCTGGTTGACCAGGCAGGCACCAGACGAGCCTGGCCCATGGCCGGGCTCAGAGTAGATAAACTCTTGAAACTCTTCAAAGGTATATCAAAGGTAAGGTACAGTACAGTAATCCATTAACAACATTGTATGTTCACACAGGGTTAGAACTTCTTGGTAGTAATAATAATATATGTAATAATGATAAGAATGGGTATATATTACAGGGTGAAGATTTAAGGTCTTGAGCTCCAAGAATTCCCAATCCTCAAAGTAGACACTCACGTCCTCCCTGTCCACAGGTGGAGATGATACCCTTGCAATACAGCTCACTTAACTTTTGACTGCTGTGAGCTTCCGTCCTCAGTTTACATTGCAGGACACTATTTACAAGTTCAAAAGGTGATCCCTACACTACAACAGTGTAGAAACTGCTGGCATGTTGGTCATCCAGGGAAATATTGCAGGTTCATGGCCAAATGCCCAGTCTGTAGTGCTAATGACCATGCCAATACATCTTGTAGTCTACCTCCCTCTTGCCTTAATTGTTATGAGGCTCACTCATCGTACTTTTGCCAATGCCAAGTTTACTTAATTGAGCGAGAAATCCAGTGTCTCAAAGAGGCAGAAGGCTTTCCTTATGCGATAGCAGTCTCTCCTACACCTCCAGTGGAGACTTCCCAATATTTCTTACTCTCGAGTTACTAAACAACCCCTACCACTGGGGTCCCAATTTCAGCAGCCTCCCCTGTGGTCATCCTTTCCACAGTCGCCCGTCTCCAATTCTTTTGCTGTCCTGGACTCAGAGGTCCCCACCTTGACACCTACTTCTGTTCTCACCTCTTCCTCTTCTCACTCACAAGTTTCTGTGTCTACAAGATCTTGTACAACAACTCCTCTCATCGCCCCTCTACTTCTCCGAAGTCCAAAAAATCCCCATTGTTCAAATCTCCTTTAACCCCTCCTTCTACCTGCACATTTTTTCTTTCCAGTCTCTTCACCTCTTACTATCAATCTGTTACAAGTGTGGAGATTCATCCTCCTCCTTGTACAGTACCTTCCTCCCCTCTTCCCTCCCAAGTTTCTTCCTCTTTTGCCCCCTCCCAGCTCGCTTCCTTTCTGTCCCCTCCCACGCCTCTTCTCCAGTTCCCTCTACCTTTTTGTCCACCCTTACTTTGGTAAATTCCATCGTCACCCTGATCTTTACTCATCCTCCTCCTCCCATCTCCAATATCATCCCATATACAACGTCCTTGTCCTCTGAAACACTTGAAGCTATCTCTGAATAAATTGAGGAGACGAGACCATTGATGGACACCAATCCACCTCCTGTTCCTCCTCTTTACTCTTCTCAATCTGCACAACTCCTTTCTTCACAGCATACCAATCCTTCACTGCTTGTGTGTTTTCCCCACTCCCTCCATATGTGGACTTTTCTAACCCTTCTAGTCTGTAGATACCTCTACCTTCAGATTTCTTGTATCTTTCTCCTTGCAAATCATGGCTTATTTACAGTGGAATATCCCTGGCCTCAGAGGTAACAGGGGTGAACTTCAGGTATTGCTCCCCCAGTTTTCAACTGTGTGTTTCTTTACAAGAACCCAAATTACGTTCCGCTGTTATCCATCCCATCTCAGGCTATGTTTTATTATATTCTTCAGATCCTTTTCCCAATGGAACCTTCAATGAAACTGAACTTCGTATATGCATTAGTATTACATACCTTTGGCTCTTTGTTCATACTTCGCTGCATTACACTGCAACCCACATCCACTTCAATAAGTGGTATACAATCTGTTCTTTGCATCTCTCTCCTTCTTGGGCATTATCCTATCCTAGATGTAGCATTTCTGGTTTCTTCCTTACCGCCACCGCTTCTGTTACTTGGCAATTTTAATGTTCACCATTTCCTTTAGGGATGGGGGGCGTCTCACTGACTCCTGTGGCATTCAGTTGGAGGCTTTTCTTGCTTTTCTCCCCCTCCATGTTTTAAATACGGGAACTCCCACCCATTTTGATCCTCGTACTCATTCTCTCTCTCTCTCTTGCATCGATCTCTCGGTTTGCTCTTCCTCAACTGTACTAGACTTTATCTAGTCTATCCTCCTGGACTTGCATGACAGCGATCATTTTCCAATCAACCTTACTTCTCTTTCGTATTCACCCCCTCCTCGTAGCCCACGCTGGCAATCTGACCAAGCGAAATGGGACCTTTACTCACGTCAAATTGCTTTTAATGAGGATCCTTCTTCGTTCTCCAATGATGAGCTTTTACACCTCTTTTCAACCTCAGTTTTAACCGCAGCTTCACATTCTATACCCCAAACCTCTGGCAGGCATTCTCAGAGGTGCGTGCCTTGGTGGTCTCCTGCTTGTGCTCGGGCAGTACGTTTGAAACATGCTGCATGGGATAGGTACTGGTACAATCGAAGCACAGAGCGACTCCTTGATTTTAAGCAGAAGAGAGCGGTCGCCCACCGTGTCATCCGTGACACTAAGCGTACTTGCTGGTGGGATTATGTTTCTACCATCACTTCAGCTTTCTCTATGAGTGCAGCCTGGAAAAAAGTACGGAATTGAGTGGTAAATGCTCTCCCGACTCGCCTCCTGTTCTTCGGGTTGCCAGTGTTGCTATAGCAAACCCTCTTGAAATTGGTAATCATCTTATACGCATCTCTCAGAGGCTCCCTCTATGCCCTTCGTTTCTTACCTCCAAGTCTGCCAGAGTTAGAGCCCTTAAACTTTTCTTCTATCAGAGAAGAATCTTATAATATGCCTTTTACACTTTAGAACTGGAGGCAACACTCTTTGCTTGCCATCATCGGCAGCCGGGCCTGACAGCATTCATATCTGTATGCTACAGCATTTGCAACAGTCAGCCCTTGCTGTTCTCTTACAGCTCTTTAATCTTATTTGGTTGCAAGGAGTTCTTCCCCAGCTGTGGAAATCTGCCATTGTTCTCCCTTTCCGCAAACCAACTACGTACTACGGGACATGATGCCTCCCACTATCGTTCCTTTGTCTTGCCAGTGCAGTTTGCAAGGTGATGGAACGTCTGGTGAAAAGACATTTGATGTGGTATTTAGAGACACACAATAGTCTCTCCACTAGTCAATATGGCTTTCATAAGGGCCGTTCTATCATCGACTCATTACTACCCTTGGATACTTATGTTCACAATGCCTTTGTCAGTAACCTCTCAGTTATCGCATCTTTTTTGACCTTGAGAAGGCATATGACACAATTTGGAGATATACATCTTGGCCCAGGCCCATTCAGGCCTCTGAGGAAATCTACCATTTAGCCTTAAGAACTTCTTAACTGAGAGACATTTCTGTGTTCAGGTTAATAATATGCTTCCCCAGACTTTTTCCAAGCTGAAGGTGTCCCCCAGGGATGTGCTTCAAGAACAACAATTTTTCTCCTTGCTATAAATGATTTAGCATCTATTCTCCCATCTAATATTTGTTCATCACTCAATGTTGATGACTCTGCTATACGTTCTGCAGGCGGTAACTGTCACCTCATTGCAGTTTCTCACCAGCATGCGGTCAACCAGGTTTCCAATTGAGCCACTACTCATGGGTTTAAATTTTATAGTACTAAAACTCACCAAATTACTTTCACTAGACATTCTGTCGTCTCTGATCATCCACTGTACCTACATGGCTCACATATCCCAGAACGTGATACGGTCAGGTTTCTCGGCCTTCTATTTGACTGCTGGTTATCCTGAAAACCTTACATTACCTCTCTAAAGGCAATTTGTCATAGCCAGCTGAACCTCCTTAAAACCTTCACTCATCTTTCATGAGGGGGCTGATTGTAGAACTCTCCTTCGACTACATTCAACCCTCATTTTATCGAAACTCGATTATGGCAACTCGATATATTCAGCGGCCTCTCCTGCAACTCTTTCTAGCCTTAATCCCATCCATCATCAGGGATTACCTTTAGGCCTAAGTGCTTTGTGCTCTTCACTGGTTGAGAGTTTCTTTGCAGAGGTGAATATTCCATCTTTGTCCGACTGTTGTGATGCTCATTGCCTTCGCTATTATGTTCGCTTTCATGACCTCCACAATCCTTCCATATATAGGATAGTCACAGATGTTAGTAGACATTCTTTATTTGTCACCCCTGCTTACTCCATCCCTTTTCTCTTCGCCTACATTCACTCAACTTCTCTTCAGTTACCACCTTTCTATGTTTGTGTATCATCCCACTTTTCCCTACCCCCTTGGGAAGTTCCAACGGTTCGTGACTGTTCTTTCCCACTGCTAAGCGTGAAAGCCCAACTGCCTATGATGGCTTCTCAGTCTCTTTTTCTTAACCACTTCGACCTCATTCTCATGCCATCTGCAGTGTACACCGATGGTTCCAAGTCTTCTGACAGCGTCGGATTCACAGCAGCGTTTCCGGACAGCGTTGTGCGAGAGCATTTATTATCCTTGGCTAGCATTTTTATGGATGAATTGTATGCCATTCTTGTAGCACTTATCCATATTGCATCTATGCCCATGTCACCATTTGTGTTCATTTCAGACTCCCTCAGTGCTTTACAGGATATAAGAAAATTTGATACACCTCATCTCCTGGTTCTTCATATCCAACTTTGGTTATGCCGTATCTCTAGCTAGCACAAAAATATTTGTTTTTTGTTGGGTCCCCGGTCAAGTTGACTTACAGGGCAATGAACAAGCAGACACTGCTGTGTGGTCAGCAGTACATGACCTCCCAGCTTCATATAGAGGTGTCCCATTCACAGACTATGTATTTTGTCGTAATTGCTACCCACCTTTGCACCCGTTGGCAACATGTTGATCTGATCTGCTACATAACAAATTACATTCTATTAAACTAAGTATAGGTTTCTGGCTACTCTCTCCTGTCTTAGCACTGGCCACCCTCGTCTTACTCATGGGTATCTCATGGAGAGGTGCTTTGTTCCACACTGAGAACTGTCAGGTTCCAGTTTCTGTTAGCCATATTCTGTTGGACTGCCCACTCTATCAAGAGCAAGCAGAATTTACCTCCAAGTTGTCACCCCTCTACTGCCCTTACTTTACCTTCCCTTCTTGCTGATGGACCCTCCTTTAACCCAGACTCTCTCAATGACTTTTTGACAGCAGCTGATTTACTGCACAAACTCTGATGATGATGCCTCTAGCACTCCTCGCAGCCCTTTCTACCTCAGTCTCTTGCTACCCTTTACCACTGCCCTGCTGCACTCCATGAGCTAACAATCTCTCTTGTTACCCAATACCCCTGCACCCTTCCCTGCTCTGCTGCACTGTATGGTCCTTGTAGGTTTAGCACTTTAATAATAATAATAATAATAGAACTTTAAACTTAGAGGAAATGTATAACTGCGTCAGCTGGTCCTGGACTATTGTCAAGTCACAACTGAGTGAGAAATGCAGAGGTCAGAGGACAGGCTAGGAGGCGAGAAAGGGAAGAAGGGTTATATGGTGAAAGTGTGTTTATTTACCCAATACTTGTTTGTTTTACTAAGAATAATTCTCATGACTTTGCTTATTACTGTTAAGAGCATAACTTGCATCACTCAAGCCTAGATATCTTCTGTTAGTTATCTCTGTTGCTGTATCTGAAACTGGATATCCACGAGACAAAGTATTTTATGAGCAATGGTTTACAAGCCTGGATGTAGGTCAAATAATACAAGAAATTACATCTATGTTCCCTTTCCTCATATCAACACTGATTAACCCCCCTGCCCCCATTTCCTAAGTTCTGTATAACTCCTGTAGGCTCTGTATTTCCCCTTCCTTATGAATATAATTATAATACAGATGTTCACTACTTACTTGGGAAAACCTTGGATGCCCGTGTGAGAGTTCTGATGGCATTGTTCGGCTTTGATTTCCTGTGAAAAAAGATATGAATTACTTGGCTGTTCCCTGGTAAAACAAATATTACAGGATTTCTGTACAGAAAAGCCGAATTTATATAGAATAAAACTTACTTTGAGAAGTTAACAGTGCTATGTATTTAATTCATACATACAAAAACACTGAACTTTCATAAAAATCTGACAATTAAATAAAAGAACTTAATCATAAAGCACTGCAGCAGGAGTAGGCCAATGAATGTTTGGTAAGTGCAACTCAAACCCCACCACTCATATACCCTGTCAAGGTTTCATTGATATTAAGTCAAGATGTGTATTAGCCTTATTCCAAACATTTACGCACTTTTGTCTTGACTCTAGGTCGTTTTTTGCACTAAAACTTATATCTAGTTATAGGTATCCTGGTTATTGTATCTTCATAGGATTTGAACCTTACATTTGTCCACATTAAAATGCATCTCCACTTTCATACCACATCAACCTATCCAAATCATCCTGCTTTTTCTTTCTCAGTATGTAAATCGTGAACAATTAATCTAAAAATGGCCACTGTGGAACACCACTTGTACTGAGCCCCCCTTCTGATTTCTTCATATTATTATTATAATAAAAAAGAAGCGTTAAACCACAAGGGCTATACAGCTGATTTCTTCAGTTATATAAACTCTGCCAATTAGTTGGCCATGCCTCAATCCAAGACAAAATTTCTTCAGTGCTGTATGCAGCTACCTTCATCAATCTAAGGCAGTGAACTCTATCAAGTCTTGCTGCACTTTATACATAATACCGTATTCGCCATCATGGTCCAACTCTTTAAATATCTTAGTGAAAAACGTTGATAAATTCGCCATGCAAAAACAACCCCATTGTAAGACCATACTGCGAGTCATTGATCAAATTGTCTTTCAAGGAAACTGAATTGCATCCATAGTTACTGATTCCATCAACTCTTCTCACAACAGAGTTCAGGCTGACTGGTCTGTAATTAGGGATGTGCCAAAGTATCGGTATTAACATTGGTATAAAATTAAGTATCGGTAGGTATCAGCTAATTTTGATGGTAAAATAGGCCTAAAATTGGGTTCGGTATCAGCAAAAATTTTGGTAGCGTTCCATCCCTAATCTATCGCCTGCTTTGTAAATGAGTATCAGTTACCATTTTCCACATCCGGTAAAATACCTGTTTATTGTGATTTGTTGAAGCGATCAATGGTTTATCGAGTTTCTCTTCACATTCCTTTAAAACCTTTGGAAACAGATTATCAGGTCCCAGTGACCTTTTTTTTTTTTAATTCATCTACTTGTCTGAGGAGAATGCCACTAGTGACTAGTAGTAGTCATCTTGCATAATTTATCTTCATCTCATTCTCCACAATTATTGATTACTGGGGTTTGATATGTATCTTATGTAAATGCAGAGAGGAAATCAGTATTAAAAATAGTTCACATTGCTTTGCCACGTCCCTAGACTGCAAGTTTTTACAGAGACCTTCCATCCACACAACAAAGCCAATGTAAACTATAGTATGATTAGTTGAGCAGTGGGGTTACTCGGGTTCAGTCCCCTGCAATTCATGAAAAGTTACAACTGTTTATATTTTTCCAATTAAATTAATAGCAATTATGATGAAGAGCTACACACTGGCTTTGTTGTGGACACAGGTGTGTGTACACATACATACACATACATACACATACACATACATACACACACACACACACACACAGTGTGGAATAGCCTAGAAAATGACGTAGTGGAGGCAGGAACCATACACAGTTTTAAGACGAGGTTTGATAAAGCTCGTGGAGCGGGGAGAGAGAGGGCCCAGTAGCAACCGGTGAAGAGGCGGGGCCAGGAGCTAAGACTCGACCCCTGCAACCACAAATAGGTGAGTACACACACACACACACACACTCGCAAATACAACAGGCCTAGTGTCTAATCGACATGTGCCTAGGACAAAATGGTAACTAACAGGCTTGCAGCATCTGTCAGCCCAGACTTTAACACAATAACGAAGTATCACGAACACTCCCGAGTATTACCTGGAGTTTACCTGGAGAGACTTCCGGGGGTCAACGCCCCCGCGGCCCGGTCTGTGAACAGGCCTCCTGGTAAGTGTACAGGTTTTCAAAAGAAAAGTGGACATGTACCTCACCCAAGTGCCAGATCAATCAGGTTGTGATGGACACGTGGCCTGCTGGCCGCCAGCATTAACAGCCTAATTGACTAGCAAACCAGACAAGCTTGGCCAGGGCCGGGCTGAGAGAGTAGGAAAGCTCTCGAAACCCTTCAGAGGCATATCAAAGGTAAAGGTATGCAGTCTAGGGTTGCAGTTGGTTACATTACCAGTCCAGTATGTGACGGGTTTCAGCTCTTCTTAATGAAGTTCCCATAATATGGTCGGTAGAGTGGTGTAGGTGTATCACTGTAGACAACAAGAGCATTTCACCCCTGCATGGAAGATGTGTTCATGTAATATATCACATACCTGCAAGTCCCTCCCAAGAAGCTCATTGCTAGTAATCCCTTAAATCACTTGTTAAAGCAATTATTCAAGAAGAAATTTCTCGCCTGGCTGGTAGTAATAAGTTATGACAAGTAATACACACTGATGGATCTAAACAGGAGTCTTCTGGCAGGGCTGCATCTGCTCTTGTTGCCACCTCCCTAGTTAAGAACGATAATAAACTTGTTGAACTAGGCATAAGAATTAACAACTGGGCGTCTACATATTAAAATGAACTGTTTGCAATCCTAATGGCGCTAAAGCTAACTTATAGCACCGAGCTTGACTATCATCATTACTGATTCTGTCATCACTGAAGGCTCTTAACTCATATAATGACTCCAACAACATGCTCATTGGAGAAGCCAGGTATAGATACTCAAAAATCCGGGACAAAGGAATTTAATGTACAATTGCTATGGATCCCATTACACATTGGATTACTCCTTCATGATAATGTTGATATGTTAGCTAAGAAGAGTACCCAGAAGGAGAATGTGGAATATAACTTTGGTATATCTGTGTCTAGCATTAGGAATAATATTATGAGAGAAGTAAATAATGAAAATGATTGTTATAGGAATGCAGTTAGAAGCCTGAGTAGATCTATAACCCACTATGATAACATGAACATAGATAAGTATGTTTATGGAACAACTTGCAATGTGAACAGACTGACTGATGTTGTAGTGGCCAGGTTTAGGCTTGATTACAAGTACTTCTGGCAGTTTGGGAGACACACAGATAATGATCAAACTAAATGTAAATTATGTGATCAGGCATATGGTCACTGTCTTGAACACTATGTGCTTAATTGTCCACTTATTGAGGAATACAGAGATAGACAGTATAATAACCTATGTGACATGTTAATATATCTTATTAATGAAAATAAGATACCAGATATACTAAGCAAATTTCATAAATTTGCTTGTAACAGAAAAGTGAACTATAGATATGTAGATATAAATCCATATGTATTCCTGTTAACCCTTTGAGGCCTAGTTCCTGGGCCTTTTGTGTATCCATATGCTCTTGCACTACCGTCCACAGAGTGGATATGGGGTGCACAATAAACTAGCCACTTCGGTGGCAAAATCTAAAATCTAGAGTGGTGTATTTGTAAATACTTGCCCCCGGGTTAATCCGTGAAAAAAAAGTTACAACTGTTTACTACAATTTTTCGTTTGCGCTGACAACAATTGGGGTGAAGATCTACATTTGTGCTCTGTTGTGGGGAGAGTTCTCAGTGAAAACTTGCTAAGAGTTGCTGTTGGAAACCGATGCTAACATTTCAGTCCAGTACATATGGCTCTGAGCCCACCTGCGTCTAATGCTTATGTGGAGACTCATAACCTCGGAGAAGTGTTTGTGTCAGTGAGCTTAATATCTCTATTATGCATCCTATATCCACACTGTCGGCGGTAGTCAAAAGATTACAGAGGCACATGAGTCCAAGGACTAAGTACGAATTAAACTTAGTGGCCAATGCGCCATAGCACAAGACGTGTGACTCTCAGCCTTAAGTCAAGCTCTGCCTGACTTCTGACCATTTCAGACTTTAGCACAGCACATTTATCACAATCCTAATGATTATAACTACATCAGTAATATAACGATCACAACTATCACTCAGCCACAGCTACTATTACAACAATCTTTTTCTACAAATTTAGCACCACAATCTCCACTAACTTCACAACTTTTCTTCTGTTTCAGAGCACTTGACTTCACAATCAACTTTCTTCACTTATCATTCGAAAAGTTAATACTCTCCCCACGTCCTAATGATGATAACTAGTATCAGCATTATACAGACTGCATGACTTATTAAACCCAAGTGTTATCTAATCACAGTTATCGTCAAATGTTGCCACTAAAATTTCAACGTTGCAAAAAAAAAAAATTAAACCACGACTACGCAGACAAAGTTAAAATGGTTGAACATTCAGCGTATTATATTTTATGGGAATCAATGTCCCTAGATAAAACAGAAATACATAAATGAGATATAAATAGCCTTTTTCGGAAAAGTGATAAGTGGCAGCCAGATACAAGTTGCCAGTTCGGCGAAATTCAGGGACTGAAATATACTGCTGAAAAATTTAATTGGAATATTGAAAGTTTGTACACTTATGAATATTAACACAAAATAAAGAGAAAACTAAACAATCTGATATAATAAAAAAATTATTATTGAAACTTACACATTAACATTAGAGATTACGCTATCATAATTCTGTAATCAAGAGTAATAAGTACTTTTTCTTTAGTAAACATTAAATATTAAACTATTATACTTAACATCATGTTTATGCTCTTTCAGGATAAACATCTCTTAACAGTGCAAACATATACCAGTGCTAATTAATAATAACTAAACGATAACTGTGTATGATGGTAGGACCATAGCAACACCCATGTGGGGTCCCTCGTCCCACTCAACATTCCTCTCCTCCGCTAACAACTGGTCGCCCAGTCATCGCAAAACAGTTAAAATATAAATAAGTTTATTTAAATACAGGTACACACAAGTACAGTCACACAAATTATCATATATAATAACATATGCGTAAATTACCTAGGATAACCAGAAAAAAAAGTCAAGACAAAGTAACTTATTTCCAATGGGGTCCTTGAAGTACACCCAAAAACTTTCAATATCCACGGAAAGTTATCCTGTTGGTTCCCCTCAAGGAAGGCTCCTTGATGTTGGTGAGGGGCTCTTGATTTAGGGAATTGGATCTGTGCTCCAGTTCCCCGAATTAAGCCTGAATGCCTTCCACATCCCCCCCCAGGCGCTGTATAATCCTCCGGGTTTAGCGTTTCCCCCTTGATTATAATAATAAAATATCCTGTTGGTTATAACACTGATGCACATTATATCCTTCCACTTGAGCCTTGTAAGTTTAGCGCTTCTTTTTATATTCTTCCACTAAAACAAAAACATAATGTATGTGTATATTTTCATTTAATTTTTATTTATTTATCACAGTAAAAGAATCGGTGGAACCCTCCCACTGTATATATGCACGAAACAATGAAAGCCTGAGCTCAGTTCTTGCAATCCAAAATTTCTTAAGACATCCCAAAATTACAAGATGCAAAAGAAAACGTTGATAGGGGAAACTCCAGTAGACGTCTAACACGTCTTTCCATCCAACATTCGTCTGAACCATACCACGGGCGGGATTTGAACCCGCGGTCAGAGAGTCTTGGAGTCTGGAGTTTTGAGACTCTCTGACCGCGGGTTCAAATCCCGCCCGTGGTATGGTTTGTTTGCAATCTCGTCATTACGATTTCCTGAGTCATTCGTCTGAACTTTGTATATACTTTACTTTGTTAGTTACGTGAAGCGCTACGCCCTTCCTTCCAGGACATTTCAGCGCAATAATTGATCATGTGATAGAAGATAAAAGTACCTCTATGGAAAGCCAACCATTGATCTATCTAGGCCGAGGGAATGAATATCCCAATGTAAGTAAGTCAAGTCTGACTTTTTTTTTGGGTTATCCTAGGTACTTTACACATATGCTGCTATGTATGATAATCTATGTAACTGTATTTGTGTATACCTGAATAAACTAACTTACTTACCTCAAAATGACTTTAGGGCTGAGAGACTGAACATTCAACATCTTTCTCCACTTCTTCCACTGTCTCCAATTAAAATGTTAAACTTTATTTGTCTTAAGCAACGTGCTACACAGGCCAAAGTTTCGGCTATCAAGATATCCAAGTGTTGTATATGTACCTTATTAAATTGTCGTAATGCATACTATTTATCTTGCCCGAAATGCCTAGCCATGCTAAGCGTTCTAGTGGTACACTCTGTAATCACAATTTTACTACATGTAACCCAAACAATAACCAAATTTCTGTAAACTCAGCATTGTAATCCTTATAGAGAATAAACTCTGAATTTTTAGCGTTATCCTAGGTAATCTACATATACGCTTTGTATTATAATTTATGTAAATGTATTTATGTTTACCTGTACCTGAATAAACTTACTTATGGTGGCCCGTGGCTGGTGGCAAAAGCTCTCGCTTCACACGGTGAGTGTCCGGGTTCGATTCCCGGCAAGGGTTGAAACACTGGGCGTTTCCTTACACCGGTTGGTTGTCTATGTTCGCTCATCAGTAAAAAAAAAAAAAGGTACCTGGGTGTTTGAGCTTCGGAATGGTAGTGTGGATCGCAGTACTCCCGGGACAAAATTAATATATAATATACTATCTTATTTTACTTACAAGTCTTGTTACATGATAGAGGGCCCAAGCTTGACTCAATACTACTATATATAGAAAGCTCCCATGTTCTGTGAGCATTCGGGCAAATTAGCTCAGTTTTGTACTCAGGATGCGACCATACCTTGACTAGTAACCCAGAGTACCATTTTACACTGATGCCCGTGAACAAGGACAGCAGTTGTCTTATGGAAACACGTCCCTAATGTTATTTTTTTTTTTATTCGCCGGTATTCTCCCGGCCCGGGTCTTTTCCAATAAGTAGTGGTGACCCGGCCTTGGCTCCCTATCTGGGGAGTGTCTCTAGACCTAAGTATGTCACTGATGTCAGCTAGGCCTGTATACCTTGTACATGTACTTGTAGAAATAAAGATATTATTAATACTATTACTTATATAATGACTTCCAGTTACTGACCAAACCCAAACTTGAGCGAACGCGTATACGGCAGTGTGTGTTATTGTTTACTCGGCACAACAGTTATTTTACAAAGGTCTTCCCTGAATAAGGTGCTTTATGATACTCTAACAATAACGTTGTATTGACGCTCCCAGGTCTCGCTTCTTCAGCTTAATTTTAATGCACAAATAACCTGCAAATAGATTTGAAACTTATAACGACGTTTCGGGCCGACTTGGAGCGAAACGTCATACGTTTCAAGTCCCCTATATGCAGGTTATTTGTGTATTGTTCCAGGTACGGTATTGTGCCGTTTTTAAATAAAATGCCTTAATCCAGAACCACGGATGTTTCCAGTCAGGGGAACGCCTGGCTAACATGCTCCCCGGGATACACTCCTCTTTGATGTTGCTGAGAGCCTCATGATCTAAGGAACTGGATCTGTGCCTCAATTTCTTGAATCGAGCCTGAATGCCTTGCAGTCCTTCAGGTGCTGTTTGCGGTTTAGCGCTGCCCATAATAAATAATAATAATAATATAATATAATAATATAATAATCCTTAACATACACCACTCTCGTGGCCTGACGTAGGTTCGCACTTCAAGACTGCTCGCCACCTTGCTCTCCGGACTCTTATCTATAGAATTGGAAAGATTGGTCGCCAAGCAAAACTGTCTTAATTAAGGGTTCCAATCTGCCATAGTGTCTTTTTATGAGGATAATTTATGTTTAAATTTCGTGTATAGACTCATAATTCATGTCGTCCTTCAATGTCTAGCAGCAAAGATTAAATTTCAAAATATAATACCACAGAAATCTACGGAATTGGTTATCCGACGATTTTTATAAACAATGGTAAAAAGAGGAACACATGTACATATGGAGATTAAAATAAGTCTTGAAGGCTAACTACGCATTTCTTTTCACGTTTACATTTGTACGACAAATCAACTCTTATATAAATAACAGTAGGGAAGCTAGGAACAAGACTTACCAACATCGTCCATTGGGTAGACAAGATAAACAAGTTGCACTTGGAGGGGGTCGGTGCCGTTAGTATTCGCAGTTCCACCGTGTCCAGGAGATATCACTGCCAAGGAAGAATTGGTGTCGCTATTATGTTGGAGTACCGATGTAGGGAGTTCTTCAGGTCTCCTTGCTATCACACCATCAGCAGGAACTCGCCCCATTCCCAAGTTAAAATTGTCGTCTTGATAGCGACGAGCAGCAGGATTTTCAGCCCTGGCGTCTGCAATGAATTCCTTAAATGTGTCATATTTATACGTATTGTGACTCAAGTGGTCTCCCGTCTGTTTATCGTCAAGGATTCGTGCACGTTTTGTGTTCCCATGATACTCATTGTTTTTATTTCGTTTCTTAGCTCTAGAGCGAAAGATAGATGCCCTTAACGCACTTAGCACGTCTGAGTGACTAGCGTTGAACTCCGGCTCGTCTTGTGCTACTTCGTAAATGGGTCTTATTTCAATTTCACTTGACACATTTTCTTCTGTTTGAGTTAACTGGTTCTCAGATTTGTTCTGTAGTGGAACAAAGTAATATTGGGAATCAGGGAAGTGTTGCGTGTTAACGGATGGAAGGTTGTTAGACGAAGGGCTGGTGTTTGGTGTGAGGTAAGTGGTAGATAAGTGGGATTGGGTGACCTCGTCAGCGTTTCCCGCTGGGTATACTGGCGTCGACTCGATCACATCCTCATTCCCTATGAACTGGTTGGGAATAGTCATATTCATGCCGGGAGCTACCACCTGCACCACAAAGCGGCCGTTGGCGTCCACTGTGGCATCTAGAGTAGTTCCTGGGGCATCCTGCAGGGCACCGACTGTAAGGGTGTCCAACGAGATACTGGGTGCCAACACAGAGGGCGGGGTGGCGGCAGGTGCCAAGGATGTATACTGAGGAGCCTCAGGGGTGGTCTGCACCTCAACTTCAGATGACGGCACTGGCACTTCTCCTGACAAAGGCACCTCTTCAAGTAGGGGTACCCGTTCAGATGAAAGCATCTGGTCAGATAAGAGTACCTGCTCAGATAAGGATATCTGGTCACATGAGGGTATCTGGTCACATGAGGGTATCTGGTCACATGAGGGTATCTGGTCACATGAGGGTATCTGGTCACATGAGGGTATCTGGTCACACGAGGGTTTCTGGTCACATGAGGGTTCCTGATCAGGTAAGAGTTCCCGATCAGATATATGCATTTCTCCAGTAAGAGGTACTTTTACATCTGCGACCACTTCGTCATGTATGTGTATCTGCGGCAGGTCTACTGGAGGAGGAGTGTTGATCTCGTATGTGCCAGTGTAGTGCTGTGCTCTATTAGGCTCCGGAGGAGTCTCGAACATCTCGAGAGCCTGCTGTGACGTGATGACCAGGTTATCATCGTCCAGAGAGAAGAAGGACATGTCTGCATAGCCATCTGTCTGATTCTCGTTATAAGGCTGTATGGTCGTTTTGTCTGGGTCTCCATCCTGTTGGTCAGGCCCAACATTATTATCGAGAGTTTGAATCTCCAGTTTAATGGGCATGTAGGCATCGGAGTGGTATTGTTGCGTCTGGTCTTGTGCTGCTACTGGTGCTGTTGGGGAATGTTGAGGTACTCCAGGGGAGGGTACTTGCATCTCCTCCACGTTAACAGCAGCTACTGCTGCACTCAGAATCTGATCCAACTGCATCTTCTCCCGTACTCTGTCACCTCAACGTATTGTACACAAACGACTCGCTGACCAGATTAATGAGCTGCAATTCATTTACAATCTCATCCACAGTTTAGAAACTCCCAGGTTAAAATGTCTCTCGCAGATTGCATAATTACTAAAAAACTACTGTCCTTTCTGCACGTGTCGATAATGAGCTGTAATATCTTTCGTTCAATGCACTACGTTTCAAGCAATCTGAGATTCAGTTTGCATTGAGTATTCTGACAACCTGTAAAAAACAGTTAGTGGAGTGAGTGCAGTGTTGACAGCGACACACTCAGTGTTGGTATGAGTTGATACTATGCGTAACACTCTTCCTGTTCCAGCCACCTCTTGCATCCATACCCCACCTGACAACACCATCTTAATAACTCCCACTTTAACGCATCATCTTTCCCTACATTACTGTAACACTGTATTTCAAGCACATATCATTCTTAATTTAAGCTAGACCACATTATTTCAGTTACAGTCATTGGTAAACGCTGCAGCAACGCTAGACATGTTGGTGTCTGGAAGTATGTGGCAGGTGCCGCCCCCCCACAAGAGCTCTCCCCCCCCCTCACTCTCATGGGAGCTTCCTTTATGCTCGTGAAGGAGCTTTTAATTCAAGAAATTAAACTTGTCTTCTCATTCCATAGACCGAATCTGATTACCTCCTATTCTCCAAGCGCTATATGACCCCTACGGGTTTAGTATTGCCCCTAAATAATAAATATTCGATTTTCAATATACTATATAGTTATATATAATTATATAATTATATATAATTATATTTTATTATTATTATAAAAATATAGGTTCCCCTAATGTGTCGACAACTTAACATGAGAGCGTCAACTTAGGGATGCCAGTCTTCCCTCAGGGTGCGTGACTGAAACCCCCAGTATATCTTCCAGAATACATGGTTGGAGGGGGGAGGGGTATTTCTCTTTTATTTGCTGGCATTTACGGTCTACGGCACTCAATGAATTATGGCTATGGTTTATGGAAAGTGAAACATGCTTTGAAGATCTATACGTACCTGTTTAGTGATTATGATCAAAAGTAATACGAGGTTGAAATGGTAACGAAAGTCGCAAGAGGATGATAACAGTGTAAATTTGTTAATGAATGACACTGAATATGTTTAAGTTAGTACAAATTTGGTAATGTTGGATACGGAAGATCATGTCTGTCCCAACTGCTAAATCATTTACAAAATTACGGAGGCGTTGGAACAAAACCAAAACACAGATGTGATATATGTAGATTCTGCAAAGGTGTTTGGCAAATGCGATCACGGGGTGATTGCACAGAAATTGAGGACCATAGGCATAACGGAGAAGGTAGACAGATGAATTTTCAAGTTTCTAACACAGAGTGGTTACAAACAGCAAAATCCAGCACCACCCAGGTAAAAAGCTTAGTACCCCAAGGCAATGTCCTGGCACTTTACTGTTTCTCATTCTCATAGAAGACGTTAATAAAAAAACACTCACCACAAATTTGTAACAGCATTTGCAGATGACAGTAAAATAAGCATGAAAATCACCTCGGAAGAAGACACTGAAAATATGCATGAAAATATAAGCAGTTTTTCGGTGAGCAGCAAAGAACAACATGACGTTCAATGGTGATAAGTTCCAGAGAGTAATTATGTCAACATCATTAACTGCGGACATTAAAATAAATGCTTACGTGTGAATCGTCGTTAACGAGTGATGATGAAGTCGAGTGACGTTGAAACAAATCTACGAGCGTACTGTGTGCAGTGATCTAGAGATAATACGCTAGTGTACCCGAATGAACTGTTTAACAGTAACCTCCGCAGCGCTGTATAGCCCTTGTGGCTTAGCGCTTCTTTTTTATTATAATAATAATTAACAGTACTTCCAAGGACAGTGATTTAACGTGTTTAAAACGACGAACAGAAGCACGACGTCCTCGTAAATCATCATGGATTAGACGTCGTGTTTTTACTCGACATCGGATATCGGCGTCCAGAAGACATGGCAGTGATACAGCTCAAAGTTACAGGACCTAAGGCAAGTCCAATTTTTCAGTACCGTCTCCCAGGAAAATACTGCAGTAATGCAGTCAGGAGGTGTTATAAAATTTTTGAGGAGCACCATGTGAGGTGTCGTAATATGTAGGTGATCCTGCTAACGTAGGTAGTCACGTGACCTGTCTTACGCGAGATACACCTGTACAATAGTGAAACATATGAAGGTTAGACAATGTTTCACCCAACATACAGCTAGTGGGGACAGTATGCGACGGTCGCTGTTAGAGGAAGGAGTCCAATGATCCAGGGTGCAGCTGCTGGAACCCTTAGATTGTCAGCCTTTAAGATAAGTAATACATTATTATTGCTAACATTCACCCCAAGTCTCAAAAGAGTGGTCTTTGGACTTACTCCTCACAAAAGGATTTTTAAGAACATGAAGGAACACTACAGTAGGCCTACAGGGGGTTTAGTCACGTGACTATCAGTTGTGTCCACCATGTGCTGGTCTCGCGTTTTCTTTTAATGTTTACTTTATTAATTTATTTCACATAAGGAGCTATAAAGCCGCAGGGGTTATGCAAACCCTTGCAGTGTAGGAGACAAATAGTTCATTCAAAAAAAAGGGAAAGTTCCACCTCACCGGCGTCAAGCAGTTACAAACGATAGACACAGAGGGTATATATGGGTATTAGAATGAGGTACCTTGAACCTTATTCTAATACCTATACACTCTGTGTCTGTGTTAAAGCTGAATGCCTCCCAGTGCCTGGGAGGTATTCAAGTTTGATCCAAGGAAAGAAGTTAGATCTAATTTCTTGGATTAAGAATCCCGTCAACGGCATCAAGGAACCTTCCTTGAGGGACCTCGTATTGCAGTACTACAATTCTCTGCTCGGCTGTGCTTTTCATCACCAACTTTAACTGGCACTTATAGTCTAGACCAATCATTGCTCACGAAATCGTAATGACACGATTGCAAACAAACCGTACCACAACGGTCTAGAGTTTTGAGACTCTCTGACCGCGGGTCCAAATCCCGCCCGTGGTATGGTTTGTTAGACCAATCATTGTTATCACGGATACTCTTCCTCTCTCCATAGTACTTGTGGCTGTGGGTATGATCTACCAATACACATCTCTTGATAAGAGTGTTATTTGATGCTGATGAAGAGCTTTTGATGCAACAAATCGGGGTTTCCTTCTCCTTGGTCGGATCAAACCTAATTATCTCCCATTCCCCAAGCATTGTATGATCCTAATTTGTCACACAACGTCATTCTTATGTTTCTTAGTACCAGCCTAATGTCACTAAGGTCAAACAAAACGGGAACCTTGGTTCTTGATTCTTATTCTCTTTGAAATAAATTGTTCCTGGTGAGTGTGATAGCGGCTGCAATCCTCCCTCCAGAGCTATTACTGTAATCTAGTCATTTACCGCAACTTTATTAATTTCTTCACAGTATATATACATTTTTAACACCTTATATCCCTTCAAGGGAGGCGTCTTGCTGCCGGTGAGGGGCTTTTAATCCAAGAAAATTGAGCTATCCTTCAATTCCTTGGATCAAATCTGATTATTTCTCATTCCTCAGACACTATATGGGCCACACGGGTTTAGGACTTCCAAGTGAATAATAATAATAATAATAATAATAATAATAATAATAATAATAATAATCCCATGCATAACAGGAAGAGTCACATGTGTTTGTGTACACGACGGTGTGCAAGCTGAGCTGAACACTTGTATACGCTGAGGGAGTGATCACCTCGTATTTACCTTTACTATCTTTAGTGTATCCAGTATTTTAGTCATCTGTATTTGACCGAATAAGCTTGTCGAATATGTGACAGGTTTCCACAAACAAAAGTGATGTTCAACTGCTGCACTTGTGCAACAGTTGTATGCCATAAATATAATGATCAACAACTTGTTTTTCGAGTCACTGCTATGACACAATGATAGGAGACTATACAGCGGTTTAAAACAACTATTTCATCCTAGTAAGTTGACCTGACTATTACAGAGCTCCTACTAACTAAATATTGTAGTAACCGCCAGCAATCTCAACTTTGTCTTAATTAATTGTTTTGCGGGACATGACTCGTATTCTCACCACTGCCCAGTCTTCATCGGAGAAAGTGAAATGTATTTTACGAAGAGGGAGGTAAAAGTATGTCCTATGGTCAGAATATTCCCTTCCTAAAATCGGCTAGGTATTACCTGTGCAGCAACCTCGGTGTCACCCATCCACCTGAACTTTAAGCACTATCTTCAGATATCATTACATCAATACACAGCCGGTATCAGCACTCGCCACAGACTCTTCTACCTCTTGAACACATATTTCCATTTCAGGTACTCTTACTCATCAATTTCCGTGCCCTATAAGTCTCCCCCCTCCTAAAAATATATCTTGCAATACTTTCGTGGTGGCGCTTTACCACACGCCTTCCAGATGTGGAGAATTCCCATATCCACCAAAATCTTCCTCGCTGCTTCCGTAATCCCGAGCTCTTCACCTGTTCGTCCCCTAGCAACGTATTTCTCTTCTCCGAATCCACGGATATTAAGACAGCTGAAGGCAGAATTTATTCTCTAAAAACTTCAGCTATATCTCCCCTCCCATATCGAAACGAAAAAAAAATAATGTTGTAACACCTCCAACTGGATGCGTCCATTTTCCTGGTTCTGCACCTCTCTCCTTCATTAACACATTACTGTTCCCCATTTCATCATCTTCCGCACACATGTTTCTGGCTATTAAATAACAGCAACTCATCACATAACGTCCTTCATTATATCGCCGGATCTTAATTCTTAGGCTCTTTTGCTTCTATCCCATTTTACTTTTATGTAAATATTTCAGTGCAACATTAATTAGAGATGCAGGGAAAATCCAAATGCGCTTCAACTGTTGACCTCTCAATTGTTCCATGAAAGGATTTCTCTACCAAAAACTATTTGGTTGGTCACTCAATCAGTTTTCCTTTAGCTATATTCTTTTGCAGTCTGTTGATCTTTTTTTTCTTATACCTCCATACATTTTTTTGCAATAAATAAACAGCGTTTATTTAAAGACGTACACTACATGTTTGTAGCTCTCTTTCACGATCCTTAATCTTAGGCCGATTTTTGAACCCTGGTATCATTCTTACCCAAACTACTACTACTGCTGTTGAGTGATTTTGTCACCATATAAGTTGGCATACCTTAAACACAGATGCTTCAATTTTACTCTTATTCATTCACGTACTGGGTTATCCGTTTGTTCTGTCTCCACGAGAGATCTCATTTCTCCATCAACACACACCTCATCGTTGCTCACGGTGATAATTCTTGCGTCCAGATGGACTGGGCACGTTTTAGGCTTAGCACCACTCTTCATTTTTCCTGCTGACACATCCTCCACTGATGAGTTGTATAGTTTCGTCAGTTCCCTCTTTTCATCAGCCGCTGTTGCTGATCCAGAGATCGTAGGGAAACATTTTTATGGCTATGTACCTTTGAGGTCCTCAACTACTCCAGCTATTAATCAGCGACTCTTAAACGTGGTACAATAGTATTACTGATCTCCATCATGCTTCCAAGACTGGCTCATGCATGTCGTGTCACACAGACATCTAAAGATATTTGTTTTCGTGCTTACACCCCTACTCTAAAATTTTTTGAGTACAGAATGGAAGGGGGTTGAGATTAGCAGGTAAATACTCGTGTGATCTGGATTCCGTCCTCAACATTGCTGGTGTGGAATTAGCAAACCTTGGTGAAGTAGCACTAGAAATGGGACATTACTTATTTGGGTCCCTCAACAGTTAAATTTGTGTTGTCTTTAATCCAAATTAACAGGGAAATATATTCCCCCGTTTTACTTATTCTGAAGAACCCTATACGGTATCATTTATACTCTAAAGAATTTAACAGAATCACTGTCAATATGTCAGTCAGCCAATGGCGGCCGAGGGAGATAATGTACACGTTCCCTTTTTACAACACAGAATTCTACACTTCAGCGCTCATTTTCCTATTACCCTTTCAATAGAAAACTGCAATAGTACTTCGTCTTTAGAAACTGGGTATTGTGCGTCGGGAAGCGACCTGCCGCCAAAATATAGATCCTGTTCGCTCTTGCCCAGGCACCACTTGAAAATTGCAAGAACGACTCATTAGTTCTTGTGGTATGTAGCGAAAATAAGTCTAAACAATATTTCATGGATATTGAGTTTGGCTAACCTAAGCTTAAGTAGTAGTGAGGGAATATCATATGTATAACACGGAAAAATTTATATATGATATATATATATATAATATATATATATATATTATATTATATATATATATAAAT